AAAGGAATTTATGACTTAAAATGTTTGAAGAAATATTATAAAGCTGAATTTAACAAAGGAACAAAGAAATTTGAAATGTAATGAAGGTAATTAACAATACTAAATCTAACTAAACGGAAAAGTTTTTGAATAAAAATAATTTAAAAAATATAGATAATTATTAGCACTAAACAGATCGTAACACATATTTTACGTTGTGGTCTTTTCGGGTTTGCCTAAACGGATTACGTTCATTTTGAAAACTGCTATAATATGAATTATTTTGTGTTGGCGAACTTGAGTAGCTTCAATAACGATGAAATAGACCACAATGCATTATAACTCCACAAGTTCATCAACACAAAACAATTCGTATTGTAGCAGTTAGAAAAATTAGCAGAATAGGTTGAAGGAAACCCCAAAGAGTTACAACGTTTGTTACGTTTTCTGAATATTTGGAGATAACGATTTTTAACAACATCAAGAAGCTTCATACGCGTTTGTTGTCTACTTCTTCACCATTCAGACACCTCCAGTGATGGATTTAATTAAAAGGGAAACTCTACATGGAGTAAATGCATGTCCAATAGCGGAAGAAATAATTACAGTGACAACAAGTGTAAACAATGACCTGTAAGTGTACATACAAAGTACCTTTGTGTAAAAGTGTAGTATTTATGTGTATATGTAGACATATGACAACGGAACACTTTTACTTTCGCAGTGAAGAGATTGTCAAGGTTCCGAAGCGTATGCACTTAACAACAGTAAGAAGGTGATTAGTTATTAGTTATAAAATTTCCAATTTTGTGTAAGTCAAGTGGAGCATGCTCATTAAGAGCGTTTGCGTTAGAAAACATTCGATTTTATTATAGTTAGAATTATAATCACCTGTAGGTGTAGTTAAATTTGGTACCACCGGTCATTAGTAAGTAGACAGAGGAACGCAGTCGGCGAGCGAAAGTTTAGATTTCTTGACCCAGTTGGTGAAGCAATTTACTCGTTGACGCCGAAGACAACAGCAACTGAGCGCGAGAAAGAATGTCCGTTATCAATTTGTGATTATCGTGTGCTGTGTCGAAATTTTTAAAAACCCAAGAACTTTTTTCGCTCGTTATGAGTATATGAACTTTACTTGTGTAGGAACTTTTAAAAGCATCTAGAATGATTTATATGAGTAACCAGGTCATCTTCATTACTTTAGTGCAAATTTTGGGTAAGTTTTTTCCGGTTTATATAACGTATGTATAGTAACTTACAGGAATTAATTAAACCTAATCATTGTTTGCCGATTTATGCGTGTAATGAATTTATTACTGTCTTTTTAAAGCGGCAACTTTTACTATTTACTTTTACAATTCTTATGTGACCTTTAAGTGTTTTTATTAATTACAGTTTAACGTATTAGATATTAATTATAAATGAAAGAGTGGGTTTCTCTTGCAACTTCCGGTTATTTGAATAGGAAAAAGCAATTGGTGATTCATCAGCATTTAATTAGTTAAAATAGTCCAATGTGTGCAAGTANAACACTTAACAACAACTGTTTTGCATTACTAAGACTTTATTAGAAGTATAACGACGTTATAATGTTATATTTTATACAATAGTAGCGAATTAATAACCTAGCATCAGGATATTCTATTGCATGCAAAGGGCGGCAAAAATTTGAAAAATACGGCGTATTTCGTATATATTCCTTCATTCATCTTTTCATGTATAAATAATAGAATAATGTAAGTCCAATAAGTCCAATTTATAGCTTTTGAGGGATGTTTCGTTTTGTTCAAACGATTTTATGACTTCGGTTAGTTTAGGGCAGTTTTCAGAAAAGCATGAGATGGGATCGGGACAAAGCTGGACCTAGAGGAAAGACAAACCAAAAATTTCCACTCTCAAATTTACCTGAAAGTATATGCCAATAAAATTTACAGTATTCCCGCCATATTTTATGGAAAACAGCAAAAAATGCAGTTAAGTTAAAGATCATAAAATTACGGAAGAAAAAGTCAACACGAAGGTGGTCATGTTCTTTCTTTTGTTTACTGAAACGTAAGAAGAAATTGACTGGCATCGTATCTCTGGAATAAGTTAATACTGAACCAATTATACCTAATCCAATTGATACCTGCAGCAGGTTTAGGTCCACTTTTGTCCTGACCAAGCTTGTATCCTTGAATCATCAAACTCTAGAAGATCTTTTCAGATAGATGATTTAAAACTATGAAAGAGATATTTAATATTTCTAGCATTTGAACTGTTGCTGTAATACAAAGCAATGTTATATAGATATAACTTTTTAAAACTATATCTCTATTTTTTAATTTTGTAACAGAAAGCATTGTGTGTTTAAGAAATTTATTTGTTGACGCCACTGAAAAATTACTCATTTTTTGGGGCAATGAAGATTTTAAACGTCTTCTTTATTACTTTAAAAGATTGAAAACACAATTCAAATTGAGTGTAAAGGGAACTGATAACATCAAATCGATTAAACTTTAAAAGATAATTTCCAACTTATGAAACAAAAGCACTTCTTGCGACTACCACAATTTACCTGTGATATACAACTTCCGGTTTCATCTTGTTACCACTGCTTCGGCAACCTTAAACAGAACAATATGCTATTATCACAAATGCTAATATCACTATTTTTCACCGACTAATCTCTCAGGAATTCATAAAACCATAAAAGATATTTCTTGACATCTGCAGAGTCTGCAACCAAATACTTGGCACCACTTCTACGACGATCCGATATGAGTATTATTCATCTTTTTGATAGTCTAAGAAACAGTTATAGGCGGAAAACGCCCCCTGCGGAAATTGCTACCAACTATAGATTTTTTTATTACTCAAAAAGTCGTTTAACTCAGCACCATACTGCACCAAAATTTTAAACTGAATTAAGAACTAAATTGTAGGTAGTCCGAAAATAAAATATTGTAGCGACCACGAGCGTGATTGTGTGCGATCGGCCATACGTGTGTGTGAGCGGCTTATCGATTCGCCGACTAGCCGCGGGCGCTTTTCTTCATGTGTGCCGTATTTGTAAACGTGTGTGTCGTACCTGCGTTCCGGGAAAGCAATTAAACAGTTCAAAGAAAACGAGACTTTTCTGGACGGCTGGAGAATGTTCCCGAAAGAAGGCAAGGAAGTATAAAAAGGAAGAGACGATGGCCGAAGTAGAGTAGAAATAAATTGACCGTTGCAGAAGTGAATCTAGAAATAAATTGACAGCGCAGTGAACAGTGATTTAGTAACAGTACTGTAAATAAATAGAATTACCGAAGTTTAGTAATAATTCAATATTGTTTTTAAGTTCAATAATAATTAGTGTAAATAAATAGTTTTTGTCGTTGTGAGTTTTAAAATTCAATTTGTTAAACCGACGAATATTACAATATGATCATAACTTTAATCTTTGACGTGATAAAGGTAAAAGAAATACGTTTGAGAACTGTAACTAAATAAAATAATTTAAAATTTACTGGACGAACATAACCTTTTTCTTATTTTCTCAACTAACCTAACCTAACATTAACCTTTTTTTTTATTTTGTAAATTAGTGTAATCAAAGAGTTCTTGATTAGGATTTTGTCTAATTGTAAATCTCTATCAGCACATACGATCTTTTCCTAGTTTTCATATTTTATGGACCGACGCAATCATCCTGACATTTTCACAGTGGTTTATTTTTTTTTATTATTATTTTGCGACATGCCTATGCATTATCCATATACAGTAAGACCCGCTTAACGCTGTTTCGTTTAGCACTGTTTCGGTTTAGCGCTCTTTTATTTCAACCCGAGGATTCCCCGAAATTGTGCGCAGTGCTTGGTTTCCAAATATGTACATAACATATCCTGAACAGTGTAGTTGTGTTTCTTGTTTGATGCGGTGCTGTGCGGACGTATTTTTATCATTTGAAAATTGATAGTAGTGATTTCGAAGAAGAGCAAAACGAACTTTCGATGGCGTTTGTAGAAAGGAGTTTAACCACTATAACTAAAATTATGGACCAATTTGTTGAAAATGATCCAAATTTTGACAGGAGTTCAATAGCAAGACGGGGTGTTATAGATGCTTTATCCACTTATCAACAACTTCTAACAGAACGCAAAAGGAAAACGCAAACTACATTAAATGCCTTCTTGACAAAAAGGCAGAAAATTGGAAACAGAATAGACTGAATGATCTGACTTACTTAGAATTTTATTTGTTTTTATAAGTATATTCGTTTATATTGTTTTTTTTTTTAATAAGAAATAAATGTTTGGTTTTATTTTTATTAAAAAAAAACATAATTATTAAATTTAATACCTAACCAATTTTCTATCCATCTTTCCCTAACCCCATTATTTATATCTTAAGATAGCCTCGTTTAGCGTTGTTTCGCATTACGCTCTACTTTGATGGAACGTAACCTACGGATTAAGCGGGGTCTTACGGTACATAACAAATAAAGAAAGGACTACAAAAACAAAGGGTTCACATACAAGCTTTGTAATAGTTAAAGGATGAAAGGTGTTTTCTCTCTACTGCAATTACTTGAGTGAGTTTATTTTTTAAATAGGTAAATTTTAGGTTTGGTAATGGTCGAACATCATTTTAGTGTTGAACTGTTTCTATTAGTTTTTTGAGTAGATTCGTAAAAACTATATCAATACATAATATAAACGACATATATCATAAAATGTGGTGTTACAAGCGAATGATGAGGATACCGTGGATAGAGAAGGTTAAAAATAAAGAGGTATTAGAAAGAATAGGAGAACAGACGACTCTATGAAATAGGCGAGATAGGTTGGTAGGACACCTCCTCAGGCATGAAGGTCTAGTCAGAGACAGAAACAAGAGTTAGGAAGGGCAGAAGTAGACCTAGATTAGATTATTGTTCGCATATAGTTAGGGATGTGGGTTGTTCTAGTTTTAGGGAAATGCGAAAATTAGCTCGGGATAGGAAAAAGTGGAGGTACGTGTCGAACCAGTCTTAGGACTGACGACCTTATGATGACAGTCGTTATGTAATGATGGTCCACGTGTCGACACTTCTGATAATACGTAATTTATGCGCTTACTCTTTTGTCAAAATCTGACTTTTTGGAATTAAGCAATTGCTAAAACGCCTAATTAAAGGATGGAACTATCAGGCCCGTAAAAATGAGGAAAACATAAACGATATTATAAAGAAGTCGCTTATATACAAAGTATTTATTAAACATACAGCTAAACATCAAGGCGTTATTTCCAGGTTTATTATAAGAGTATTTTGACGATTTTCGAAAATGCAGGGCGGTAAATCCAATTTTGATATTTTTAAAATCATTACTGCACCCGAAAAAATGTACAGCATTTTAAACCGAGTTTATCACGTGCAAGAAGTGTTTCAATGTGATCTTTTAACAGCAACTCCAACTAAGAATTAAGAGAAATACAATGGGGACGTTCATAAAAAACGTTCGCAAATAGGGAGATGGACACCCCGCTTAGCCTTACGGGAAATGACAATGGGGGAGGGAGTTTAAGGAAATGTGGCGATCACTATTCATCAATTTTATTTTAATTTTTTCTTAACTTGGCTGTTCTTAAAATGATTCATAGAAAGTCATTATCAAGTATTTAAAAGTCTGCAAATGTACATATGTAAGTGTTTGGGAATTTGTTTGTCAAGGGGGGTCGATGAATGTGTAACTTACGTGACAACGGATGGGTAAGGGCTCCAAAAGGGTGAAGTTCTGAGTGATGTATTTTATGGACGACCCCAATAAGAATTACATTGTTTTGTTGGTAATTACTGGCTAGCTTTTACATCAACGTAGTGTCGAGCAAAGAAAGACCAAGACCAAAACTGTCCCAGTCTTGATATTGGTCTTGTTCTTGCTTATTCAGTCTTGCTCTTGCTCAAATACCTCTAGTCTTGGTGTTGGTCTTACCTAGTATTGCTGATGTAATCTCATTGTTGGTCTTGTTCTTGCTAATATAGTCTCGGTCTCAGTCCTGGTCTTGCTCATTTGATCTGATACTTACGTATTTTTTAATATCTCTTCTAAGACACAATAATGGCCTTAAAAGGTTTTTAAATTTTCTGTCATACATGCCAGCTTGTCATCACTTTTAAAGAAAATAGTGTCCACAGTTGTGAGAGTTGTGAAAACTCGAAAAATTACCCTTCCTCTAATGCATACATTGATCCTTCCTCCTAAGCATAAATTGACCTTTTACGATTAATGAACAAAATGGTACTTGAAAGAAGTAAGAAATGTATCGAAAAAAAATAGTTTATCTCTATATTTCAACAATATGTTTTCTAGACATAGGAACAAAGAACACTTACTCCGAAAACATTCTTGTAGATCCCTCAAACAGTGGAAAATTTTCTTTTTTTTGTATTTGGTCTTGTTCTTGCATATTCGATCTTGGTTTTAGCCTTGGTCTTGTTCGTTCGGTCTTGGTTTTGTTCGTTCGATGTTAATCTTGATCTTGCTAGTATAAAGGAAGTTTTAAATTTTTGTTATAATTTTTATCCGACTTCAAAAAAAGAGGAGGTTCTCAATTCGACTGTATATTTTTAGATTTCGATGATTCTTTTTCTGTTTGGTAGGTCAGACTTCAGAGATGGTGCCATATAAATTTTATCGAAATCGCTTTTTGAAAAAATCAATAAAAATAAAGAATATATACACCGTAAAAATTTAAAAGTAAAGTGAATCTTTAGAAAAAGAAAACAAAAACCGACTTCAAGACTATACCTACGTGTACAAACTAAAAAATAGAAAATAATACTTCAAAGCACTATACAGAAAAATCGACAAAATCATTGATACTTTTACAATTTATAATCAGTAATTTTCGGAGGCGGAGACAACCAAAATATAACCAAGAATAACCTTAATATAGCTTAGAAAATACCACAAATGGCGCGGTAAACGCCATCTGTAGTCAGATGCTACATTTTAGGATTACGTATGCTGATATCTACTTGCTGAAACGAATCCCGGCGTAGCTAACCACTACGTGATAGGCACGTTACCACAATCGAATAAAATATGTAGTATGATGCTACATTTTTCTAAAACGCGCTGTTAAGACAGCAGGTAAAAGTTGACCTGTGTTCTGTCGGAGCTGCCTGCGACGCGCTGATCAGATCCAAAAAGATCGAAATCGCGATCCGCGTCTGGCAGTTTTGACAGAATACTGTCCACTTCGAATTATTTTATTTATATAACTTGTTTAACCAATTAATATATGAATGCAAAAGTAGATATTAGATAAAAGAAATCGGTCAAAAAGTTTGTCAAAAGGCAAAATGTAGTCAATTGCTTAGCCTGTGGACCATAGGCGAATATAACTAACTAAAACTATTACAGAATAAGCGGAACTGCTAAATGAGCGAAAAACAGGTTGCATGTATGTGTGTATGTAATAATCTAATTATATTATTTTACACCGCAATTACTTACATTTAAATTCTAATTTGTTGTATGTAAAAACCAATTGTTTCTGTTTAATATCTTAAAACGTTCATTACAATAAAAAAATAATAGCCAATTGAATTTCTTCATTTTAAGGGGGCAACCATTTGACTGGAACAATGCTTTTGCTCTCCCCTAATTTGGGTCTCGAAATTGCATTCTAATTGTTTGTAATTTAAATAGTCAGATAGGTATTCAATTATTCAAATATCCAATTTAGAATTTTGAATATTCAGATATTTAATTTTTCAATTTTTTAAGTATCTGGCTATCCAAATATCTGAATACTCAAATATCTATTCAAATATAAGGTTAAGGTTTTCTGACTCACATATTTGTTTGTATATAATTCCCAAGTTCCAATTTTTTTAATAAGTGTTTGTTTTCGAATCAAAATTAATGCAATATTGTAAGTTATCGAGTATTAGAATATTTGAATATTTGAATATACTTACGAATATTTGATTGAATATTTGGATATTTAAATATTTGATTATTCAGAGTCATGCATTTATAAAAATTCAGATATTGAACAATTTGGGTATTCAATAAAATTATAAATTCGAATCGTTCAAATTTCAATAGCAAAACTTGTTTCTTGCTCTAGGCTTTAATTATCTCAACAAGTCATTAATAAGCTAGTTAATTGAACACAAATAAGACCCTTGTCGGAATATTGGATCGTAAATAACCAGATTTTAGTTGAAAACCATTTCAAATAATTGTAACAAAAAGTAGGAACTGCATACAAAATTAAAAAAACTACTTAAACTCCCATAAATTAGGAGTTGGAAGGATAACAGCATTAGCACCTACATTGTGCCACTTTGTTATTGTGTTACATTTTAAATGGTGTTGCGAATGCATTAATTGGTACTTATTTAGGTTTTCCCATGACATTAATATCCACATATTAGCAACTAATTGTTCGCTCGAAAATAATATTCACTCCACTATATAAAAAGAATTGTGGATGAATTGGATCCAGACTTCCACATGACATCCATTTTTAAGTTAACAGGTTAGAGTCAAGTTCGACACGAGATATTCTGAAAAACAATGACGTGACGTTGTCTGCTAGAGAGGGTCGTTCCTGGATAAGTAGAATACTTTCAATCCATCTTTTTTTTATCCATAATCCACTATAAATTACCTCAAGTTAATGAGGGGAAATTGTCGCTGTTGTGACACCTACGCCGGTCATCGAACCGCCACCTTTGACAACAGCAACAATTCTTCCTCATTAACTTGAAGAAATTTATATAACCTGTTAGTAACCAGCAAATAGGTGATTTTATTAGGTAAAAATACAAAAAATTAATTCTTGTAGTACAAACTTATAAGTGTTTATATAATTTAAACCAAAAACATTATAGTGACAGCAATGGAAAAGAAAAAATATCGAAAAAGATTTTATATTTCCGCTTTACTTGTTTTCCTTTTCTTTTTCATCTCCTCATTGTCTTCTTCCAGTAAAGGAGTAGTATTTTTTAAATGTCGTCAAAAATTGGCGAAAAACTGAAGGTCATTGTTATATAAGAGCATATGAAGGGCGGTTATTGGCCGTCAACTTACGCATAGTGAAAATCAAGCTTAAACGGTTGTAGAAGTTAAGAAAAATTTGGAGAGTAGACGTAGAGGGTGTAAGCCCGTATTTCTTTCTTTTAAGTGCATCATCGAGATAGAAAACTTAAAAATTTACAGAAGAATAATCTCGCCTCTTTATTTAATTGGACTAAAGAAAGACGGACATGTAAGTTGAAATAAAAGGGATAACAAATTGAAATGAAATTGACAAATATTGTCTACTGCAATACAAGTGGAATATGAAAAATTGAGAGTAAATCAGCTTCAAAAGGATTTCCGATTATGAAATTTCCCGACCATTCCATTGCGGAAGTCAAAATTTATGTATTCCAATGAAATAGATTATTTGACCTTTAAATAATCTCGAAGGTAACATTGAAGGCCCTTAATTGAATTTCACTTTGAATTAAATTACATAAATTTTCATATTTCAAATAACTACTCTGCCGTAGTCCGCCACTACATCTGTTCCAACTAACTAAATATATCGAAGTCTACATTTATGTAAATTATCTCGATGATGTAATTTAAAAAAATAAGGTATTTTAATCTTCTGTATATACCCTCTGTTCCTAATGGAGTGTATAACCCCCATTATCCTAATACTACCCTAAAATTTGTCCATATTCTAGATGACATTCAAATCTAGTGTTTAACTCTTAATTAGGCTACTATAGATGATAGTAAGTAGGCAGTCACTCCGACACACACTCTGATGCAAAGCCAGAGGGTAGGATGGAAGAACCTCTTCAGCATCTTTTTAGTAACAGGTAGATACATTGAGAGAGATGATATGGAGACAGAAAAGAAGTGAAATATTATCTTTGGAGCGTTGCTGCTTCAGAATTCCCTAAATGATCGAGAGAAACTGCAGAAAACTTAGACCAAGGAAATACCTCACCAGTCGGTATTAGCGAGGGTTACTGTGAATTGATATTTGATCAAATCAACCCTTCCACCCATAACCTAACCTTCAAGGTAAAAGTAATATAGTCGTTACTTGCAAAAGTTATAATTAACGACTGTATCCAACTCTATTATGGATTGGACTCCAATCGGACATATTGGATATTCTAAACCCAATAAATAAGTCCTTCTAAGAACCCCCTTTCCATAAATAAGAATAAAAGATAAACTATAAAGTCCTTTATTAAAGCGTAATTTTACAAGTTTTGCGAGAAATACACAACTTATGAGACCTCGCGAATGAGATGCACCATTTCCAAATAAGATCTATTTGAATTAATCATTTTATTAGGATTGTATAATATATATTTCTATAAGTTAATAAATCTTTTAAAAGTACTTGTGATTATGAATAATGCTTACAACTCGAGCCCAAAAACTAAAATGTTATCTGTAATTTTAATTTCAGATATTCAAGCCCTCATCGTTCCGGATGAGGTTCCGTCGATACTGTCTATCATATATTCAAATATCCCAACCATAAAAAAAGGAACTGATTCTAGGTTGGGGTATGGATTCCGATTGGGAGACCGGGCCGATGTTCAGTTTCTTGTCGAACTGGGTCCCCAAACCAGTACACGTCCTCTGGCTAATCAGCCCGACAAGGACGGACAAAGTAGAAAAAGGAGTCCTCCTGACGACCTTATACAGGAATTGTACTCCAAACATACTGATAAGAAACAGGTATGTTATTCTTTTACACCGATTTTAGATACTTTGAAACAAAAAAGGCGCAATGTGAGAATACTCCTTCAAAAAAGGTCTACTTTGAAGATTTTACTCCGATTTGCGTTGAGCGTTGCACATTTATGTGAAGTACAATCTTAAACAAGTTGTATAATGTCGTGGGACACCCGGTGGGAACGGAGTTTTATGCGCTATTAACATAATGAGGAACATGTAGTATATGCATTATCAATTTTTGAAAAGTTTTCACATTTTTGAACGCCTCAGTGAGGTGTTAAACTACAGTCTATTTCAATTTGTTAGAATTGTGACCTTGAAGAAATCTGCGCGAAGATAGAAAGAATACACACTAGGCGTGAGCAAGACAGAAACAGTTGAAACAAGCTTGAACGAGCAGGGTTCTCTATGGGCGGTCTTAGGAGATCAACTGGAACTGTAGAGCACTAGACGAAAATGTTTAGCAATTTCTTAAAACAAAAATGTATATAAATTAACAATAGAAAACAAAGCAAAAGTTTTATAGGTGTGTAGAACGTTAAGTTTATAAAGTTTCTAACCTTCACTTGTTATTATTTTTGGCTAAATATCCTTTTAAATAAAGCATATTCTTAAATTTTAACGAGGCAGTTTAAATAATTTTAGAAATGGTACTATACACTTTTGTCTAGTTCTCGCTCGATGATCGGTGGAGAAATGAGCTCCGCAGACAAGTATGATTGAATTGGGAATTGCTACGGCGCATCCTAATAAAGGGCAGGGGCATATCTCAAACTTCTTGAAACGAACAGTATATGTAGGCACGTGTAAAATAAGAAGCATAAGAAATTAAGTTATTTATTACTTGAAACTAACCGTACCAATAGTGTTATCAAAAATCGACAATTTACAAAATTCATATTTTTTCTTTTGTATACTTTCACCTAATGATATACCTTGATACCAACTTTTAATTTTCCGTCACCTAGAAGTAGTCTAAATTTTTGATTAGTGAGTCAATAAGTGAGTTATCAAATAGTGACTTTCAGTCAAGAACTATCATGGGTTTATTCATAAAATTCCTGATTTTAAATATTGGAGGGAAGGTCTATATAAAAACAAATAATGCGTATATATGTAATAATTTTTGTGTTATGGGGTAATCATATTTGACCGACGTAATAATGTATGGAGTGTGTCTATTGCTATTCTTGGTAATAAAGATAAAGTGGCAAATATTTTCAACTTCAACAGTATCGACTTAGCGCATTGTAGTGATTCATCATCATCATAAGGTCGTCAGTTCTAAGACTGGTCGGACACGTACCTCTGCTCATTCTTATCCTGTGCTAATCTTCGCATTTCCCTAAAACTAGAACAACCCATATCCTTAACTATCTGCGGACAGTAATCTAATCTACGTCTACATCTACCCCTCCTAACTTCCGTTTCTGCCTCTAATATGTCTCTGACTAGACCATCGTGCCTGAGAAGGTGTCCCATTAACCTATCTTGCCTATTTCGTATTGACTTCCATAGAGTCCTCTGTTCTCCTATTATTAGAAAGAGATACCTATTCATTTCTAACCTTCTCTACCCAAGGTATCCTCATCATTCACCTGTAACACCACATTTCTAACGCTTCTAACCTTATCTTTTCCGCTGCGCCCACTGTCCATGTTTAACACCCGTACAGCGCCGTTCTGCAAACTTACACTTTTAACAACCTTTTTCGAATTTCTAAATTAATCGTTCGCGAGCATAGAAGTGACTTCTTTTTATTGAAGGCGACTCGATCTTGCGCTATCCTCTACTTTTTACATCCTTACTACTCCTTCCGTCCTGACTTATTTGACTTCCTAGGTACCTGAAATCGGCCACTTCTTCTAATTTTTCCTATCCTATCTTTTTAGTCGCCTTTTCCCTAATATTTCTTCCCTTGCATACCAGCATTTTTGTTTAACTTTTATTTATTTTCATACAGTACTGTTTTGTCAATACCGCTTCCATTTTATTTAAAGCTATCTCTAACTCCTCCTTGCTAGATGCTAATACTGCTGTATCATCTACAAATCTAAGCATACTCATCTTTTGTACCTGTATACCTATTCCTACAGTTGTACTGTCTTTAATGATGTTGATCGCGTCTTCGATGTATAGATTAAAAAGTAGCGGTGACTTCCTAATATTTACTTCTCTACGCTGCAGTCCCATCTCTATAACTGCCTGTTGCTCTTTATACAAACTAAGTATCACTCTTCTGTCTTTGTAATTGATCCCTACATTTTTAAGTATATTTAATATCTTGTCCCGTTTAACATTATCAAAAGCTTTTTCTAAATCTACAAATCCTATGTACGCCCTCTTTCTTTTTTCTGTCGTTTTGTCTATTATTACCCGTAAAGCTAGAATGACCTCCCGCGTTTCTCTATTTCTTTTAAACCCAAATTAGTGATTACTAGAAGAAATTTCGTTTTTAGTTGTCAACCATTATTAGGGTATAACTTTTCAAAAAAAGTGCGAATTTTGATTAAAATTTTGAATTCATGATAGAATATACGAACGTGTTCGTACAATTCCTTTAAATTTTCATAGAAAAATGTCCCTAAAATACGATAAATCATAAAGAATTACAAGGTATGCTGAAGAATTCTACAAAAGAATTTCAATTAATCACTGCAGTAGTGGGAACGGCGTTCATGGGTTAATGAATACTAGAACTAAAGAAGGACTAAGCCAACTTCCGAAAAATATCTCTTGAAATAAGGGACAATACAGTAATGCAGCCGATGTCTATTTCACACGTAGTACGACTAGGAATTTAATATTAATTAGGTATCTTTCTTCAGTAATGTACAGATTATTCATACCCACAATTTAACTCATGACCACTTTCAACTCAATGCGAAGATATTTGTGATTAGTGCAGTCTACAAACATGGGTCATAACTGGAAGCAAATTTTGAAGCATTAAGCACACACTGAAACTTTAACAAGCACTAAAGCTAATAGATTAAAAATTCCGGATCTCACTCGGTAGCCTCCGGTAGTTTTGTTTTTCTCATTCAAATATATATATGTAAAGATACTATTCTTGTTGATTTTAGGACGACTAACTATTAACTAATAACAACACTCAATTTTAACAATTTATATCTACCCCGTTTACACTTAGTAGATACAAGTTTTTACATCCGTCCTTCTACGACTGACTTTTTCACCTTGCCCCTGCAGGGTGCAGGATAAGTGTCTGTTGCGCAAATGTATCTTGCGTCTATGCGTGCGTTTCCAGATGGCCCTTATGTAATCAGGTTACGAACAGGGAAATTCCACCCTTCGCCAACATAAATTCCACCCTCCGCTAACATA